ACTGCACCCTAAGGCAGATAATAGCTTCGTAAAGAAGGAAGATATTTCTTTTCTCATTGTAAATTACATGTATCAATTTGCTTTACTTAAAAAGCAGCATCCCTATTATCCTTAGGAATACCCCACCCATTTTCTATTTCATCTCTTGGCGATGCTGTCTTATTTCAGTGGAATCAGAGTATTTCCTCCCCGAGTGTCTCATCAATAGCTGTATTTGCTGACAAGCGTGGTAGGTTTAATAGAGCCTCCATTCAAATTCATTGTAAGAAGGGTTCCCCTTTATAGACAGCCAATTATGACATCCTGCCTGTATGAAAAATGCGCATGCTATAGAAGTCGGACTTGCACCATTGTTTGGTAGCGAAAGGCAGGAAATTAAAGAGGCAACATTTCAGTAAAAGAGTGTGTGTGCTTTCTCTTTACCTGCTATTGTTGTAAAAGACACTGAAGATTGTTGGAAGCTTAAGAGCGGATTTTATGCAGAAAAGATTTGCTTTTTATTTGTCAGTGAATGTACGTGCTACATTAAGCAGTGCTTTGTGTTTAGTCAGCTTTACTGTGTAATCTGTTTGGAAGAGAAATATAATTATAAAAATTGTAAAACCATAAATGTTTGCAGGAGATTAGAAGGAATTCAAGTTTGAAACCATTTTAATACATTTTTCAAAACTGTGTTTCAAGTTTCTGTCTTTGGTTACTGCTACAGAGCCAGGTTATGTGTGCATTAAACTGTGCATTAAACTAAGTCCCTGAGGTTTGACTTAGTACAATTTATGTTTAGATTACCATTAAAAGTAACGTCTCATGAATGGTAGACATTCAATCAGTTATTCTGAATTTCTTTTGTGCAAAATATTTACTGTCATCCTCTATAAAAGTAGCAGCATTTAATTACTTAAATACAAATACTGAAGTAATTTTTTCTGTGTGTTTTCTTTTGGATGTAATTACAGAAATGTGGGAAATACTTTTCCAAGTCTTTTGAACTCAAAAGTGGAACAGAAGGAAGACACAGGGGGACATACACCGTTCAGTGTTATTTTCCTTGCACAGGAAAAAAAGATCATTATGAGATGAGCACTAAAGTCTCAAGTTTTCAAAGGTTTGCATAACAAACAAGAGACACATTGTGGGTTGCATCTTGACTTTGAAGGCTTGCCACTGTCAACTGAAATAAAATGGCAAGGTTTAAAGCCTTAACCAAGTTCACAAGGAAAATATTTGGACTAAAAGTTTTGGAAAGTTTTCTCTCTTTGAAGTAGTTTGTCATGTGTTACCAATGTGAACTTTATTGACCTTGAAACATTTTTTTTTGAATCAAATAGCAACTAGTGACACTTTAGTAAAATCTTAAATCAACAACCATCTCCTGGCGGCTCCAGCTTCATAGCAAATGCAGGCAAAACAGGGAATCTACAGAAGAGACCTTTATTATTCGTAAATGAAGCCTGCCAAAACCTTCCCGAAATAGCATTCAAAGACCCTTTTAAGGTCATGGATCCTGAACAAAGCCAGAAGAGCACAAAAAAGTCTGAGGAAAGTCCAAGAAAGAGGCTTCCCAAAGGAGAGGCTTTCCAAGCCAGTATTTCATCCGCAGCTACGTACCAGGGCAGCTCTGCTTCTTCACAAGGAACCCCTCTCCGAGATATCATATCGCAGCAGCACTTTTCTGGTTCTTTGCTGATTCCAAGAGAGGAGTCTCAGGAGAAGACTGGACATCAGAAGCAACCCAAGCCTTCGTCTTCTGAACATCCTCCCCACGTTTCGCAGCTTCAGCAGCACGCACTGTCACCAGCATTTATGTCTCCTGGGAAACCAGAGCATGTCCTTGAAGGTCCCACATGGCAGCTAGTTGATCCAGTAAGACCAGGTCCCTCTGGCTCCTTTTCATCACCCGGGCTTCATTCTCACCACGGCCAGCTCTTACCTTCCCATTCACCGATCATTCCTGGAGAGGACATGCCGTCCGTTCAAAAGGTCTATATCCCTCGCCCTTCACAGGTTTCCTTAAAACAAGCTGAGGAAGTGCACAAGAAGGAAAAGAAACCTCAGAAGCCAGGCAAATACATTTGCCAGTACTGCAGCAGGCCTTGTGCGAAGCCAAGTGTGCTCCAAAAACATATCAGGTCACACACAGGTGAGAGGCCATACCCTTGCATTCCATGTGGCTTTTCTTTTAAGACTAAGAGCAATTTGTATAAACATAGGAAATCTCATGCTCATCGAATAAAAGCTGGGCTGGCCTCAGGGATCGGAGCGGAGATGTATCCATCGAGCTTGGAAATGGAAAGGATTGGCGGGGAGGACTTCGAAGAGCCAACAGAAGGAGAAAGCACAGATTCGGAGGAGGAAACGGGTGCAATGTCGGGCCATTCAGTAGAGCTCTCACCCAGGCAGAAGCACACCCTGTTGTCCAGTAGTTTGCTGAGTGGAGGGAGCCAAGGATCCAGCCACGACCGGTGTTCATTGTCTCATTCCAGTATGTCTCAGTCTCTTGAGGACAGCACCCAGTTTGTGGAGCCATCGTCAGACCATGCTCTGAGCCATAAATCTGAAGATACCCATACTATAAAGCAGAAGCTTGCACTCCGCTTAAGCGAACGGAAGAAGGTCATAGATGAACAAGCTTTCCTGAGCCCCGGGAGCAAAGGGAGTACCGAGTCAGGCTACTTCTCAAGATCAGAAAGTGCAGAGCAGCAGATCAGCCCACCAAATACTAATGCAAAATCTTATGCAGAAATTATTTTTGGGAAATGTGGTAGAATTGGGCAAAGGACTGCAGCGTTAGCTGCAAACACAACCCAGGGGTTTCCACACCTGTCTACCGAAGAGAAACCTAGTATGGTACCGTTATCTGTGCCTAGAACACAGGTTATTGAACACATCACTAAGCTAATTACAATTAATGAAGCTGTTGTAGATACCAGTGAAATAGATAGTGTTAAGCCTAGAAGAAGCTCTTTATCTAGACGTAGCAGCATTGAATCTCCAAAGTCTGGTGTATATAGAGAACCGTTTCAGTTTGATATCAAGTCTGGTTCCAGTAGCCAGTTGGATGCATCAAAAGTGTTGACATCCCACGGTGAAAAAATTAAGCCCGAACAATCATTGTTGTCACTTCAGCAATCCCACAGTGCCACAGAGACAGTGCCTCTCCTAAGAAGCCACTCAATGCCTTCTGCTGCATGCACTATAAGCTCCCCACATACCTTTAGAGGTAGCTATTCATTTGATGATCACATCATGGAGCCTGAAGTCTTAAGCCGCAGTCAAGCGTTTTCTTCCCATCCTCGAATGCTAAAACGACAACCAGCTATTGAGCTACCTTTGGGAGTAGAGTACGTCTCGGAGGAGGTTAGCTCTGTGAACAAAGAAACTGTTTCCAAACCTCCCGAGGAGCCTGAAACCAAGGAAAGCGATCTTACCAAAAAGTCAAGGAAGGGTCCGAAAGTCAAAGGGTTCATGTACGAGTGTAACATATGTGGTGCTCGGTATAAGAAAAGGGACAATTATGAAGCTCATAAGAAATACTACTGTTCAGAACTTCAGGTCTCAAAGCCTCGCTCTTCCACTTCCCATACCTCTTCAGAGACTGAGAAAAGTGTTGCAGATCCTGACACGTGGCCCCAGATGATGCATTACAAGCTAGGGAGCAGTTTGGAGCTCACCCCACTCCGAAAAAGACGAAAGGAAAAGAGTCTCGGTGATGATGAGGAGCCTCCAGCTTTCGAGCTGTCTGACACTCCCTCCTCCAGTACTGGGCCAGGGACTCAGTTTGCAAACCCGGCATCATCTGATGTCGCTTTAAACCTAACCCGTGAATCCATTAAGTCACCAGCAGATCCGGGTAAATCCGCACCTTCTGATGTCAGTGCCAGCTTTCATTCCAGGAATACCAAACCGGCTTCAAGTGTGGAGGGCAAAGAGAGAAGAACAACCTCAAAGGAGATCTCCGTCATCCAGCATACAAGCTCCTTTGAGAAGTCTGACTCTATCGAGCAGGCGAGCAGCTTGGAAGGAGAAGAGAAACCCTTGTCACAGTACTCGTCTCAGCCAACACCCCAGCACAGCCGACCGCCTCACTCCCTGCAGCCCAAGCTGGTACGCCAGCCCAACATCCAGGTTCCAGAGATTCTGGTCACGGAAGAGCCTGACAGACCAGAAACGGAGCCAGAGCCTCCTCCGAAAGAGCCAGAGAAAACAGAGGAATTTCAGTGGCCACAGAGGAGCCAGACCCTTTCTCAGCTCCCTGCAGAGAAACTACCACCAAAAAAGAAAAGGCTGCGGCTGGCAGAAATGGCTCAGTCCTCCGGAGAGTCCAGTTTTGAATCAGTCTCTCTCACCCGAAGCCCAAGTCAGGAAAGCAGCATATCCCACAGCTCCAGCCACTCTGTGTCATTTGATCGTGAAGATCACAGCAAGTCGGAGTCAACCAGCCAGCCCTCTGAATCCCACCCAAAGCCTCCTGGCATTGGCTCACATATGTTGATGGTACCAAGCCACCATCATCATTCCAGGGAAATGCGGAGATCTGCTTCTGAGCAGACACCGAATGTGTCACATCCTTCCCAGATGTCAGAGACCCGCAGTAAATCATTTGACTATGGGAGCCTGTCGTCCACTCCTGCCTCAACCCCTGGCCCGTCAGCCTCCTCGGCTCCACAGGAGAGAAGGAAATGCTTTCTAGTTAGGCAAGCATCCCTCACTAGACAACCAGAACATGAGCCAGACTCGGCCCCAACAGGCCGGCCAGAGACAGAAGATCCAATTCCTTCTTCAAGTAAATCTCCTTCGACAAGTTTGCCCCATCAGCCAACATCTTCATCCCCTTTGCCCTCTCATGGTACTTACCCAAGTGAAAAGAGTCAGCCAAAAGACAGCCCTGAGCCAGCATATACCCAGCCATACACAGAAGCTCTGCAAGTGTTTCATCATCCCATACCACAGCTAACGCTGCATGAAAAACAGTTCATGTCCCCACAAGTTTCTATCTTGCCCCCACAAGTTTCTATCTTCCCCTACCAGCACCTCCTGCCACAGCCAGGGCAGTCTGCAGAGCTCTTCGCTGCACACACTATGTCTGACATCCTCTCTGCTCAGTTCACCATGCCTCAGATTCCTCCTTCCATATTTCAGACCCCACCACTGCCTCTCCCGCAAACGCTCATCCACCCGGGCCCGCTTCATATTGCTCCTCCCTTAATGTCTCACCCTGCTGAGGTGCCGTTCAGGCAGCATCCTTCATTCCTGCCGGTGCATTATCCTGGCTCCTCACCAATCCCTTCGGCCTTTTTTCTGCCTCTTCAGTCTCAGTTTGCTCTCCAGTTGCCAGGTGAAGCTGGTGGACATTTGCCACAGATCAAATCCAGTTTATTCCCAGCAGCAGGAACCTCCAGTCTTTCCCCATGCACAGAGTATGGCTCAGACAGTAGGTTGCATCCTTTGACCTGCACAACAAGTCCTTCAGTGTCCATATCTGCATCTCAGCTCGTTGTTCCTACGCGGTCAGACCCAATGGTGTCACTTGTTGTCCCCGTTCGCATACAGACAAACATGCCGTCCTATGGGAGTGCGATGTACACAACACTTTCCCAGATTCTGGTCACTCAATCCCAGTGCAGTTCCTCTTCTATCGTTCTCCCAAAATTTGATGATTGCCAACCCAAGGGTACCCTGGTCTGTAGTGCCGATGTTCATGGACTAGGCTTCGATCTGGCACAGATGATCACAGAGGATCAAAGAAGCATTTTCCAGAGCCCGTATCTGAGAGTGCCCTTACCCTTACCAGAACGAAAAAGCTATATGCCACTCACCTCCCCGTCAGACAGCATCCTTGGACTGGAAGGAGGCCCATCAACAGTCGGTGGAAGCAAAAGGATGCTCTCTCCAGCTGGTAGTTTGGAGCTGACAATGGAAACACAACAGCAGAAGAGAGTGAAAGAGGAGGAGGTGTCTGAAGCAGAAGAGAAGTTGGAAGTGGTGAAGCCACCCAGTGCAATAGAAGAAGGGAAAAAGCAGGATAAATCTCACTTTCTTGCAGAAAGCCAAGGCAGGGTCGAGGTTGAAACACCACCTAGTTTGTCCTTAGAGCAGTCAGAGCCAAAGGAAATCCCCAGTACTTTACAGCAAGCTGTGTCCCATTCAGGTTCTCCAAGTTTTGCAGCACTGGAAGAGTATAAGCAGCCAGCTGGCAAGCAGTTCCTCAGCAAGGCACCTTTGCAACCCGTGAAGAAAGAAGACTCCAAAGAACTGGTGGAGCAGTCTCCACCAAACCCTCCAAGCCCTGCACCTCTGTCTGAGGTCACTCATAGTGCAATGAAGTCTCGAGAAGGTACAGATACAAAGAAGGTACTTCAGTTCCCCAGTCTCCACACAACCACTAATGTCAGTTGGTGCTATTTAAACTACATAAAGCCAAATCATATCCAGCAAGCTGATCGACGGTCTTCAGTGTATGCCAGCTGGTGTATTAGCTTGTATAATCCTAACCTTCCGGGTATATCCACTAAAGCAGCCCTGTCCCTCCTGAGGTCCAAGCAGAAGGTGAGCAAGGAAACCTACACCATGGCTACTGCTCCACGTCCAGAGGCAGGCAGGCTTGTCCCGTCCAGCTCCAGGAAGCCAAAAATGACAGAGGTAATGCAATCCTATATATTTCTCCTCATCCATTTGGATACATGGGAAGAGGGGGACAAGGGACGGGGAATTGCTATTCTTAGTTTAATAGGAGTTTATTCATCCCTCTCTCAGTTTGGTAAGCAGTTGTTCTCAGTGAAACTTTTAGAATGAAGAAGCTAGCACCCACTGTAATAAAAAAAAAAAAAAAAAAGGCAAGCCTGCTGCAAGGCAGTGTGCCGTATTTCTTTTCTCCAGTTTCTACTTGCCTTGTAATCAAAAGAGCATGTAGGAATCATCACTGCGCCATGAACTGCCACTGCTCAAGCACAAAGGATTAGACTTGATTTGCATTTGTCTTGATATTTCAAATAGCTTTACAACTTTTTTTTTTTTAATAAATGCTGTTATAATTCCCTACATTTTGCATGTAATAAATGAAAAAGGATTACCTTGGGGAAATGGGATTCTGTCTGGTTGTGCATCTACTGATCTTACATTAATGAACATGGAGAGGCATGCTTAAAAGTATTTAAAAATATTAAAGGGAGATTTGCAAGTGTATTTAGGCCCCCAAAGAAGCGTAAAGGCATGCAGTGACATTTCTAAAAGTGCCTCAGTAGGTTAGACATGGAGTCTTGTTAAAACACCCGTGTCATTTAGTCCATTTAGTTAATGTCCTTAGCTGTCTACCTCCTTTTCCAGGTATCTAAGGATATGTTATACCGGACTTTAGAGTTAAGGGGAGCAAGGCAAATGGCTTCACAGGGGCAGAGCTCACCAGAGGCATTGCCCATATGGGCACAGAAGTCTTTAAGACACTTCTGGTAACTGCCTAGTGTTTTGTATCTCATTTTGAGGCCAGACTTTTCCCCTCTTGGTTAATGCTGAACCATACAGATTCCTTTAATCCAGATCATGTTCATGTAGATTAGCAAACAGAATTGCTATGAAGATTTTGCAATTTGATATTCATCTCAAGTCAATTTATATTGATGGATTATTCATTTTATTTCTGTATCATGAAATGAACTCTGAATATTAAATTTATCATAATCGCTGCTGCAGCTGCTGCTTATAAATATGTCTTAAAATACACAGTAGAGTCACTTTGATTCAATAAATCTTTATTTCTATTCAGCATTTCCATCATTCTTCTGCAGAAATCCAAAAGACAGAATTTCTAGGGACACAGAGGCAGACAATTACCTGTGCAGTGCAATAACCACACTAATGCTTGATATTTATGCACTCTTTTTCAAAGGATTTTATCTGAACGGTGTCGTACCATCCTTGACTCCATTCTCTAATAGAAGTGCCTGTGCTCCTCTGAGCTTTGCTCTTTGACGTGGTGCTAAAATGCACACCAAGTGTGTGTTTCAGAAATACGAGACCCTCATACCCTGAAGTTAAAGGTTAAGCTCTAGACAGGAATGGTTCAGCCCTTAGTCATCAAAATGCATATTTCACTGCATGCATTTGCTCAAAAGACTCAAAAACCTTTTAGACAAAACCTTATAAGCTGACTGGTAGTGAAAGTTAAGGTTTTCATGGTACAATTTGCAAAAGTAAGAGTTTGTCCTGCCAAATTCACCTAGAAAATGGTGTAGCCTAAATCTAATATTAATACCTGCTGCTTAAAGGAGTGGGGTTTGCAGAAATTATGTTAATTTCAATGGCAATAAATTGACCTTATGCCAAGCAGAGAAATAATTTTTGATTAGGTGATCAGTGGGAGTGAAATCCTCAGTTTAGTTTTTAAAATACATGTGACTGGCACAGATTAGGAAGTAGCATTGCTGGTTACTCAGGAAGATGCGATTAACAGGAGCTGTGTAGCAGTAGCATCAATCAAAGGTTGAAAGTTCAGCCTTCAGTTAACTCTGCTCTAGCTATTTCCCTTAAATATTTTCTTCTTTGTCTAACTATAAGTTGTCAGTCAACACAACAGAAAATGTAAATGAGCTCTAATATTTTGTACAATTATGCATGCAGCAAGCTACCAGCAAGCAGTAGTACTGTATATACTGTCTACGTACTTGGCTTGGTTTTTAAATTACCAGTGGGATTTACTGAGCAGATCAATTCTGAAGTGACTGTAGGCTCCAGCATGCATGTAGGGATGGCTAATTACACTGTATCGGGCTTGCAAATTTTGTAAATTAAACGAGATTGTAAAAGGGGATAGTAGTGACTGTATGATTTTGGCTCTCTCTGGTGCCTTTCATCTGTCTATGTTTTGTGCTTTTAAAAGTTGCAATAAATAAACCTCATGCTACATCTAGAAAGTCAATTGTTTTGTATTCCTCAGTAAATAAGGAACTGAACTGGGAAGGTTATCACTAGCATTGTTACGAACGTGTAGCTCATATCAGGAGGTGAAGTCATAACGGCCAAGGTTTAATTTTTGAAGCTGCTCAGTGTGTCTCCTGCCACTGATTTCCTCTGAGCACAGACGTCTCCATGCCCAGAGACACCAGCTCGAGACTGTTTCTGCTGTTAAATTGTTAAACAGGTTCCTGGCACAGTTCTGTCCTGGGCTGATAGCCCTCTCCCAAGCAATTCCTGGGCACATTTAGGGAGATAGGACAGGACAGGACAGGGACCATTCCCAGGAGGCACCTAGGAAGGGTATGTGGGTCTGATGGTGGGGACATGGACTAATCTGTGTGAGCTGGCCCTGAGGGCAGAGAGCAGTCCCAGGTACATTTAATGCTCTAAGCTGAGCTCCTGAAATTACTGGGCAAATTTGAAATATTTGACCTCAGTTTTGCAAAGCTACTTTTTAGTGAGTCCGTCCCTGCTCCTGCTGCAAATCTGATGGTCGTACCAGCAGCACGCTGCTGTGGAGGCTGGGTTACATCCCACTGAATTTTGCATGTCTCAGAGCTAGTCACTCTTGGCTTCCCATATAACCACGGGAGACAAAGAGGCACCTCTTGGGTGATTCATTCCCCCCCTTAAGATAAGTGTCTA